GTATTGAGTTAGAGACCCCATGTAGGGGTCTGTGCATGAAAACCATGTGTGACAAAATAAACAGAGTCAGTCAGTGTTGTAACCTCCAGGACTGTGTTTCGTCCAGTTACTGGGGTGAAAATGGATGCCTGCTTGTTGTAAGGGTTCCTAATTGGCTGAAGCAAGGGAAATAGCTGAGGTAACCGGTTGGGTTACCCGTGGTTCGCTACAGCACCAATTTTATAATAAATGTATTCCCTGTTAGAAAAAACAGAGAAACTCCATTTGCACAGTTTATCTACTAAGTGGTGAACTATGTGCACCCTATTTACCAGCACACAAACTGATGTTACTCTCACTTACTTCTGGGACAATTGCTTGTGCCCCAGAGTTTATTCCATAAAAGGACCAATAAACCAAACTTACTCCTTCTCTATCAAGGATAATGAAAAACTCCAATGGCGCAGGTTATCTACTAAACGGTGAATCTCTTCACCATCCCATAATAATTTGTATATTCACCTGTTTTGGGGACTACCTCTTGTGTCCCTTGAGATAAGGTCATTCAAAAAAGCTATTTTTTTTCTTTCAATTTATTCTTGCATCTGGAAAACCATACTAATATTGTTCAATATTGTATATCCACTGCACCACCTCCACCAATGCTCACTCTGCTCAGAAAAATTGATGACTCTGTTTCTAATGTAGGTTTCATTAGTCATTCATTTAGTAAATATGAAGTGATATTGTGATATTGATAGCTTCTAATGGAGTGTTCAAAGCAATGTAAGTTAGTAAATAGCAATTTTGGTGTAATTTTTTAATCTTGTAAAAAAAATAGATTGCCTGGCTCAAAATGCACTTTGATTGCAACAAGTTAAATGTTATAAACATGCTTAACAAAGGAGTGAAGTATCACAAAACAATAAATGGTAAAACAAATGACACTGGCCATATGCATATTTTCTCCCAACTATGAAAGAGGTTATGTGTAAACAGGATAAGTATAACTAACTAAAGTAATACCAGGATCAGATTTGTTGATCCAGCCTCTCTCATAGATGCTAAATCATATTAAGATCTAGGGAAATTGGAGGCCAAAGCAGGGAATACCATTGCCATGAAGGGATGTACGTGATCTGCTCCAATCTCTAGGTAGGGGGTAAGTGTCAAAATAACATCCACCTTAGGGGCATCGCTAGGGGGAGGCCAGAGGGGGCCATGGCCCCCCTACATCATGCCGTTCCCCCTTAATCCCCCCAAATGCAGGCGCTGTATCAAGGGCCGGCCTTATGATGAGCTCACACAGGTCAGGCTACCTGGGTTAAGGATTTCATTATTCTCCAATCAGGATTATTAAAAGAACAAACAGATTGTGGTGGGGGTGGGGTTGGGGCTTACAGTGCGGTTTGCGTGGGGTTAAATGATGGCTCTATCTATGCCAAAGTGCCCACATGGACATCCCTGGTGCTTCCTCCTGTCATGGAGGAAGCAGTTTATGTACCCCAAGGCAGGCAGCTGTGAGCACATTAGAGGCAGTGAGGGAGCTGTTATCTTCCTGCTCTGCTCCCTTGGGTGCCGTTTACTGATACATATTCCAACTGCCTGCATCGGTAGACGGCATGTGAGGGAGCAAAGCAGGAGGATTACAGCTTCCTCGCCGCCTCTGATGTGCTCACAGCCGCCTGCATCACAGCAGCCCCACTGGACCCAAGAGACAGATCCACTCCAGCTCTCCCAAAGTTAAGGAGGCATGGTGGACAATTTAAAATAATAATAGTAGTCATTTGTGAGTGTGTGTGAGAGAATGTGTGTGTGTGTCTGTCAGTTAATGTGTGTATTTCTGTCTGTCAGTTAATGTGTGTCTGCCAGTGAATGTTTGCACTTGTGTGTGTATGTCGGTCAGTTATTGTGTGTGTGTCTGTCAGTGAATGTATGAGTGATTGTGTGTGTGTATGTCTGTCAGTGAATGTGTGTGTCTGTTAGTGAATTTGTATGTGTCTGTCTGTGAGTGTCTTTCACATCAGTGAGAGTGTTTTTCATTAAGTGTTTGTGTCTCTCTGTCAGTAAATGTGTAGGTGTGTCAGTGAGTGTATCTATGTCTGTCAATGAATGTGTATACGTCAAATCAGGGAGAGTCTGTGTCTGTCAGTGACGTCTGTGTGTTTGTCATTGAATGTGTGTGTGATTGTCAGTGTGTATCTGCCAGTTGGTGTGTGTCTGTCAGTGAGTGTGTATATGTCAGTGAGTGCATGTGTCTCTGAGAGTGTGTGCGTGACAATGTGTGTCTGTCAGTGAATGTGTGTGTTAGTTAAACAGCGTGTGAGACTCTCTGTCAGTGACTGTGAGAGGGCATGTTGTCTGTTAGTCTGCCCATCCACACATTTATACCCACACTCTGCCCCCCCCCCACACACACACAGTCAGCCCCACACCCTGGCCCCCACATTGTCACCTACCTACACACAGCCACCCCCTTCCTACAAACTGCCTTCCTACGCTGTCACCTTCCTATACACTGCACCCTATACTGTTATCTTCCTACACACTGCCCCCCACACTGTCACCTTCCTACAAACTGCCCGCTATACATATAAACTGCATTCACTAACCAGACACTACATCCACTAAACAGATACTACTACATCCACTATATGCACTACACAGACACTGCATCAACTAGACACACTGCATTCACTACACAAACACTAGATGCACTACACACACTGCATTCACTACACAAACACAGACACTGCATCCACTATTCACACACACACACACACACACACACACACACACACAATATATATTCAGTACACACACTGCATACAATACACACTCCATCCACAACAGGGAATAAAATACATGAAAGGGAGGGGAACAGAGACATGGATGGAAGAGGGGGGAGCAGAAATGACATGGATCTTACAATTCATGAGGTAGATGCGAGCCGAATGGACAGTGAGGCTACATCTAAGGTGTGACACATTTCCTACTTGGCTGAGACATTTATAAATAAACAAAAGAGTTATCTTGGCACTCACCCTTTCTCCAAAAGAAGTTGATTTATGCCTGGGTGCAATCCCATGTTGTGGATATATGGAAAAATGTCCTAAAAGGTCCTGAGAGTGCATCTCTTGCTTTATATATATATATATATATATATATATATATATACACACATACATGTTTTATAACTGTTCCCCTACTTTTGCCCCTGACCCCTCATTCCCCCTTAAAATTTGAATCCTAGAGATGCCACTGATACACATGTATGTCAGGACCCAAGGTTTCCAATCAGAAAGTCCAGAACACAATACTGCTTCAACTAGCCTCCCTTCTTTCCATAATGCAGCCTTCTTCTGAGCTAAATAATTCACATGCACCCAGCCATCCATGTGATCTAAATGAATATGTGAATCTTCAGACCAGGCAACCTTCTTCCATTGCTCCATGGTCCAATAGTTCTGATATTAACATCCCCATTGAATGAACTTTCGGCGGTGGACAGCGGTCATCATGACCACACAGCTTCATACACAACAAACTGTGATGCACTTTGTGTTCTGACACATTTCAGCCATGACAAGCATTACGTTTGTTAGCAATTTGAGCTACAGTAACTCTTCTGTGTGATCGGACCAGACGGGCTTCCCTTCGCTCTCAACGTGCATCAATACACTTTGGGTACCCATGACTCTGATGCCAGACCAACAATTGTCCTTTCTTGAATTTCTTTTGGTAGGTATTAACCACTCCACAGTGTTATTTACAAAAGTGAGATTGCACTTAAATCTCAAATTTAAGGCCAGAGTAGCTGTAATGGAAGCATAGCTAACAATTTACCTTAAATTTGGAATTCACTTTGAAGTCACTTTGATTTCTCACTTTAGTCCGTGTTAAAGAATTTTCTCTTCCCTGGAGAAGTTATTGATGCTAGAGTAAACATTTTAGCATTGGCATGACCTGGGGCCGATAAATATATATTGTGCCTATTTTCACTGGGACCCACCGAGAGTGTAAAATTGGTTTTGGTTTCCAATACAAGGGTTAAAAATCACTGGTATAAATGCACTACGACTATTGCATTTTCTGGACCAGTAATTGGGAACATCATGATTAATTGTGTTTATTACTTCTGTGGTTATCTACATCTGGTGGATCAATGTTAATGTATGTTCCTGAAATTCTTGATATAGGATTTTGTATGAAAGGGCTGTTTACACTTTCAATACAATTTGTTTTTTGAGAAAAGTGTTTTAACCTTTTTAGTACCAAGTACTAAAATATTAATAGCTAAAAAAATTAATGTAACATGGGAAGTAATATTAGGTTGTATAATTATGCATAAAACTGCAAATGCATGTATGGTTTGCTATAAAGGGATGTTTAATACTTTAATGACAATATGATGTGTCATTATGTCCTATATATACTTGACTTTAATGCCGTTACGGCATATTGTCATGTCCTAATATTTTGGTGGGAGCAGACTTTAGTCCCTGCTCATAACAAGGAGTTCCAAATATGAACTGATGCCTGGGGATTCCCTCTGCCAGGTGGGGCCTTTCTTAGAGGCGTCAGACTAACAGGTGAGCTGTATGCAGTGCCCACACAGCGTGGTGCCTACAACCAGGGGCATATTAGCCGCGTGGCAAACAAGGCATTTGCCTTGGGCGGCATTTTTCAGGGGGCGGCAAAGAAACGCCGCCCCTAAATGCCCAGGGCAAATTTCTTGTTAGCCTCACAGCTAACAGACATGCCGAGCGGGCGGGCGGCGCTGGCAGGCAACTGGCGTCATATTCCGGCTCCCAGCCTCACTCTGCGGCGTGCGAGGGAGCTGAGCAGTCAGCTCAGGGGAAGTGCTCCCCCGCCAGCTGCCCGCACAGCAGCCAGCGCCGCCTAGCCCGACCGGCAACCACTGGACCACCAGGGAGAGAGAGACCCCCCCCCCCCAACACTCCCAAAGGTAAGGAGGCTGGGGGGGTGTTAAAAAATAAAAGTTAATGTGAGTGATTGTGTTTGTGTCTGACTGTGTGTGTGTTTGTGTCTGACTGTGTGTGTGTGTTTGTGTCTGACTGTGTGTGTGTTTGTGTCTGACTGTGTGTGTGCGTTTGTGTCTGAGTGTGTGTGTGTTTGTTTGTGTCTGACTGTGTGTGTGTGTTTGTGTCTGACTGTGTGTGTGTTTGTGTCTGACTGTGTGTGTGTGTGTTTGTGTCTGACTGTGTGTGTGTGTGTGTGTGTGTGTGTCTGACTGTGTGTGTGTTTGTATCTCACTGTGTGTGTGTCTGACTGTGTGTGTGTGTTTGTGTCTGACTGTGTGTGTGTGTGTTTGTGACTGTGTGTGTGTGTTTGTGTCTGACTGTGTTTGTGTCTGTGTATGTGTCTGACTGTGTTTGTGTGTGTTTGTATCTGACTGTGTGTGTGTTTGTGTCTGACTGTGTGTTTGTGTGTGTGTTTGTGTGTGTCTGACTGTGTGTGTATTTAGAAGATGGGGCGGGGGGAAGCGTTGGGTGGGGGTAGCGCGGGGAAGGGGGGCACCTGAGTTTTGTCCTGCCTAGGGCAGCACAAAACCAGGATACACCACTGCCTACAGCTCTTTAGATAGGCATTTAAATGCCTATTGTGGAAATATGATGTCAGCAGGGTTACATCCCTGGTCACACCAGGAGACCCAGGTATCAGTACTATATTAAGAGGTCCCATACTGACTGATGAGCTGTATGCAGTGTTGAAGGTCAGTTCTGCATGCAGACCTTTTAATCCACAGAGAACACTGTGGCTCAGCCATGATGAATCTAGGGATGCAGACCACCAGGGTCTTAATGGGGTCTCCCAGCCCCATACCAATTATTAACTGTGCTGGCCTTTGTGAGCTGCCCAGCACTGATCACAGTGTAATCAGCTGGGAAAGCATTCTTGATATTTAGATATTTATCCAACAATAACCAAGAATATGCTTGACATTCATATAGTGAGAAAAAAAAAATGGAAATCCGGCAAATTAGCATTTAGCAATTAGACAAATGTCTGTCTGCAATTATTCTCCCAGATTTCTCACTATTGCCAGGACAATCTGTACTACTAGAAAAGGATCGCTAAAACTGTAAATTAACCTTTTCATATCTATAAAATGCAGTTGCAATACTAAATTTCACATTTATAATAATGTCACATTATATCAATGTAATTTTCACCCCTCTCGTACTGAACAGAAAAGTATATATCTGTTCAGGTCAAAACCATACAGCTATGTATGTGGGGCACTTGGACTGCAAAATCTGGACATTGTTCACACATCTGGATTTTGCAATTCAGGCTCAAAAATCAGATTGTAGAATTCAGTGAATGCTGCTGGACAGCTGAAATCTGGACCCAAATGCTTAAAAATGAAAGGTTGAACTATTTGCCCTGGCATCGCTTCACTAGCATCTAGTGGGCAAAAAATTAACCCCTTAGCGCTGTTACGGCATTTTATGCCATCCCCATTATAATGGGCTTTAAAGCCGTTGCAGCGGCATAGAACACCGTAACGGCTTAAGTCCCTAGGAGCTCCGGTGGACTTACCTCCACCTCTTACCTCCATCAAAGAGCGATCACATGGCCCCCTATAGTTGGCTGTTGATCTGTCAGCAGGGGGACTGTCTGGGCTGTCAGACAGTCCCCCTGCTGGTGGGTAGTGTATAAAAATTATTAAACTTGTTTAAAATTTATTAAGTGTGTGTGTGTATATATATATATATATATCAGAAACTATATATATATATTATATATATAAAATATATTATATATATCAGAAAACCAAGATGCTTCCACTCCTGGATTAGAAAGTAATTGCCCGGTGCTGGTCAGGCTCAGAATACAAAAAAATGAATTGAAATGACCGCACTCCAAGGACTTGGTGATGAAAGCCCATGTATTGGGGCTAAAACGTCGATATTTTTAAATGATATAGAATAAAAGTTCTATTTTATTTTTACTGTAAACAAGTCCATGGATTGAGGTCATTTCCATTCATTGTTTTAGTATTATGTATATATATATATATACGCGGCCAGGGGTCATCACCTTGGTGACCTATAACAACATATATGATAAAACATACTAATCTCACGATAAAAAGCAGTGTATAAACTGCTTCACACTAGGAGCAGTAATTCAAACAGTAATAGCAGCATAAAAAACTGGCAATCACGATATTGAAAAGACTTAATACACATGTTGAACTTAATAGCTGAAAAAACAAGTAACAATGCCTTAAAAGATTAATCATAGTTACCAATGACTCTGAGGTTGTGAAAAGCAGGCTTGTCAGACTAGAGAAGTTAAAGACAGGATTCTAGGCAAATCTCAAGAAGGAGAATATTATAACAGGGCACACTGAAATAAGGATTGATCAACTAACAGGTTCTTTAGAAACATCCTATATATATTAAAAGACCAGCACAGTTGGTTATGATAAAGCATAACACTATACTGAGCAGTAGTGACCCCTAAGGGTCTTGGTAAAGTTTAACCCTCACCAAATCTTGAACAAGGGAGTCATAATACATATACTGAAGCATGGCACCCCACAAACTCTGTAAGTACATCTGTATACAATCATTAATATCTAGAGAGTACACCCTTATAATAAAATAAAGATCTTAAAGAAAATTAAGAATATCCAGTAATGACAGAATCTACCATTGTCACTATGAGTCAACGAGAGGGTTGCCTATCCCACAGGGTGGGCACCCAATACTCCCCCCATATCTGTGACATAATAAATAGACACACGTAGTTCCGAAAGAAGCATGGGAATGTATGCCTATCCCCCAGGGTGGGCATCACATAGCTCATCTCATTGCCACTACTTAAAAAGTGAACATTTATAGAAATGCAGAAAGGGTGTATTTCTCGTTCAGACCTTCAGGATATACTGTTCTCAAAGTTCTGATCCAATAAAGTTCTTGTTGTAATAACATTTTCTTACGGTCGCCTCCCCTCCTAAGAGGTGGTATATGGTCAATTGCCATGAGTTTTAAAGTCGGAAGCGTATGTCCTTTCTCCAAGAAATGTTTAGCCACCGGCAAGTCCGATTTTTGATCTCTATACGCCACCCTTATACTAGATCTATGGTTGCGAATACGTTCGCGCAGGGGCAGATCCGTCTTGCCGATGTATGTGAGCCCGCAAGGGCAAGTTAGCTTGTATACTACATAATCAGTAGTGCAGGTTAGTCGATGCCTAATGATATACTTCTTTCCTGTGTGGGGATGGGTGAAAGATTTGCCAGATAGCATGTGCCCACAAGTGACATAGCCCAAGCACTTATAGCAACCCAGATTGACAGAACCCTGTTTATCCTCATACCAGTGTATAGGGTCCGTCTTCACTAACAAGTCCTTAAGATTCTTGTTTCTCCTATAGCACATCATGGGTGGTTGACGGAATGTTTCTGGTAAAGAAGTATAATTTCTCAAAATTCGCCAATTCTTCTCAATCATCTGCTTAAATTGTGGGGATGCTGTAGTATACGTGGTTGGAAAGACCAATCTCCTTGTCAATGGAACTTCTGATGTGGCTTGTGTTGTATAGCACTTATCAAGGGCTTTACGTAGTACCTGGTCACTGTAGCCACGTCGTTGAAACTTATCCCACATCAGGCCCAAATGTTCCTCGGCCTTACTTGGATCCGAATTGTTCCTCATGACCCTAAGGAATTGAGAATATGGTAGAGATTGTTTGAGAGCATTAGGGTGGAAACTGTTTGCCTGGAGTAAAGTGTTGCTGTTGGTTGGTTTTGTATAGAGCGTGTGCGCCAACTTGTTTCCTTCTCGCATGATCCCTACGTCTAGGAAATCCACTGTGAGTGGGTCCACTGTCATGGTTAATTGTACATTCGGTGTACATGAATTAATGTATTGGACCATAGATTCTGCAGCACTGTTGTCTCCCTTGATGATCATAAAAATATCATCGATGTAGCGACTGTATAATAAAATGATATCCTTAAATGGTTCCAATATGTATTGGGATTCGAATTCAAACATAAATCCATTCGCATACATTGGAGCCATGGCCGCACCCATAGATGTACCTGCTGACTGTCTGTACCAATCCAGTTCAAAGCGAAAATAGTTTTGTGTCAAAACTAGTGCCAGAATTTCCATAACGTACTCAATTGGAGGTCCCATATATTTGTCTGAAGATGAAAGAATCCGTTTCATAGCTTGTACTCCCCCTGTGTGGGGTATGATCGTATATAGACTCTTGACATCACATGTAACTAGTGATGTCAGCCCAGTCGGTAAGGATAGTGTAGAAATCATTTTGATGAAACTTGGAGTATCCTTAATATACGTGGGAAGACTTTCAATCGTTTCCTTAAACAGGAAATCCAACCACTTCGCCAAGGGTTCTAAAATGTCCTCCACAGCCGACACAATTGGTCTCCCTGGAGGGTCCTGAAGATTTTTATGGACCTTGGGGAGTGTATAAATCACTGGTGTCCTCGGGTTTGATTGATGTAAAAATTCCCAGAGGTCATGGTCAATGAACTTCTGTTCCAAACCCTTTAGTAAAATAACATCTATCAGGAGTTTGACTTGAGGTGTGGGATCACCACCTAATTTCAGATAAGTGTGGGAATCAGATAATTGTTGTATTATTTCCAATCTGTATTTAACATAGTCTTGGATAAAAATCCCACCACCCTTGTCTGCTGACCTGATAACAATGTTTTTGTCCGTGGCCAAAGACTTAATGATTTCCCGGTCCAATTTTGAGCAATTTGAATGATGAGAATGGGTAATTTTTAAATGATCCATGGTCTCCTTTTGTACTGATCTTAAAAAACTTTTTATAGTAGCTTGATTCAGCAAGGGGTCAAAAGTACTTTTCTTCTTGAACTTCCTGTTGTAATCATCTGGGAGAGTAGGTTTGTTCTTGAAGAAATCTTTTAGTCGCAGCGATCTACCAAACTTATATAATTCAACCTCCCAATCTAGTGGATTGGGTTTGGCAGTAGGTACGAATGACAAACCTTTGCTAAGTAGAGTAGTTTCGGCCACTGTCAAAATTTGGGAAGATAGATTGAAAATAGGCATTATCTCCTCTGACGTGGTGGTCTCCCTCTTGCCCCAGAAGGTATGTCCCTTCTGTCCTCATCTCGTAATTGCCCTCCTTCTGAGGAAATAATTTTGCTCTGATGTCTGGTCCGTATCCCCGGATTGGCAGGGTTTGGATCTTCTAAAAAAGGTTGGGCTTGGGAATTACTTGCCACTCTTCCCCTGTCCCAACTACTCTGTTCAGATTCCGAGCTGGAATTGCCTGAGGTCTTGTCGATGGTGTAATGTCTAGGTTTGCGGATAGGTCTTTTCTTTCTCGCAAATCTAGGTAAGTCACTGGTGCCACTGAGCCACTTATATACTCTATGCTCCTTATAGTCTGCTGACACTTTTTCCTGCTTATCCTTTTTAAATCTAATAAGATCCGTCTTGTAGCTCTTTACGTTATTTTCCAATTTTAGCAGCGTAGATGTAGCTTCTGGGCTTGCCAACAATAATGCCTGTCTAGTTTCCAATTCGATAATTCTCCTCCTAATTTGTATCAAATCCTCCTTCACGTCCTCTATGATCACTAGCATCAAATCTAGTGAACATTTATTCAGGACTGAAATCCACTTCTTACATACCCCTGGTTTCAATCTCCCAATCGTGGGTACATTGCTTACCCTAAAACCTCTTGGGATCTGTAATTTCCGATGATAGTCGGATAAAAATAAACCATGAAGGTCCAAATCAGTCTCTCTCTTCTTTAACCTCAATAATACTTTATACTGCTATTACTGTTTGAATTACGAAATTCCCAGGCTCCTAGTGTGAAGCAGTTTATACACTGCTTTTTATCGTGAGATTAGTATGTTTTATCATATATGTTGTTATAGGTCACCAAGGTGATGACCCCTGGCCGCGTCATTGAGCGTGACGCTGTGCGGCTGCAGACGTACGTCGGGTAGCCCGCGGCAGTCCTGGTCCGGGCGTCCATGGAGTCAGAGGTGTCACAAGTGTGGTGAGTAAATATTGTTGTTTATGTTATAAATGTGGGTATATCTGTACACATAGTATGTCCTGATGAAAGCTTGAGGGGATCAGGCTGAAATGTTGACACTTTTGATGTTTTAGCAAAGGTAAATAAAAGTTAATTTTTATAAGTCCCTGGAGTGCTATCTTTGGAAAAAAAATTGTGTTTTGGCTGATAAGCACCGGGCATTGAGTAACTGAGAGAGGTGGAGTGCAAGATTTTTCTGTTTTTATATATATATATATATATATATATATATATATATATATATATATATATATATATATACGTATAAGTACAATAATAAATAAAATAATAAAATAAATAAAATATTTAAAAAATGAAAATAAATTATATTTACATATGTAATTTCATTCTAAGTGTATTTTGTTATTAATACATGTGTATATATATATATATATATATATATATATGTACCAAAATACACTTAGAATGATATTCTATATATCTATCTATATATAAAACGAAAATAACCACATATATATATAGATAAATATATAATTACATTAATAATTACATAAGTATACACGTAGAATTTAAATACATATGTATATAGATTAAAATTATATGTGTATATTTAAGTAATCTTTTAGCACAATTATGTAATTTTATTAATTAAAATTTGATTGACACGCCTGACAACCTAGGCAGAAAGTGTAGAGAATTTAATTTGCAAGCACTATATTTAACCCTGTAACTTTCCAAGACACCATAAAAACTGTACATGGGGGGTACTGGGGGAGACTTCGCTTAACACAAATATTAGTGTTTCAAAATGGTAAATTGTATTACAATGATACACTATTACAAAATGATATTTTTAGTAAAAGGGACGTTCTTTGCATTTTTCACACATGAACAGCACTTTTACTGACAATATTATTGTTGTAATACGTTTTACTGTTTTGAAACACTAATGTTTGTGTTCAGTGAAGTCTCCCAAGTATAACAGTACCCACCATGCACTTTTTTTCGTGAGATTGTAGGTGGCACTGTGTATGGAGAGAGACAGGGATAGGAAGGTACATCTTATCTCTGCTTCTCTCTCCTGACTGAATCCACAGGGCAGCAGCACAGAGTGCAGCCAGAAACTTCTAGACTGCAGAGACAGCCTACAGATCAGGTAAGTGAGTGATAGGGGGGCAGCCTACAGATCAGGGAAGTGAGGCATGGTGGGCATCCTATAGATCAGGGAAGTGAGGCATGAGGGGCAGCCTACAGATCAGGGAAGTGAGGCATGGGGGCAGCCTATAGATCAGGGAAGTGAGGCATGGGGGCAGCCTATAAATCAGGGAAGTGAGGCATGGGGGCAGGCTATAGATCAGGGAAGTGAGGCATGGGGGGCAGCCTATAGATCAGGGAATTGAGGCATGGGGAGAAGCCTACAGATCAGGTAAGTGAGGCATGGGGGGCAGCCTACAGATCAGGGAAGTGAGGCATGGGGGGAGCCTACAGATCAGATAAGTGAGGGATGGGGCAGCGCCGCCTACAGATCAGGTAAGTTAGAAATGGGGAATCCATCTACAGATCAGGTAAGTGAGAATGGGGGGCAGAGGCAGCCTATAAATCAGGTAAGTGAGGGATGGGGAGACAGCCTACAGGAAGGGTCAGCAAGGAGCAGGAGGGTAAAGTAAGAGAAGAAGCAGAAAGGAGAAGGAACAGAAATGAGCTGGAAGGGACAGCAAGGAGCACAAAAAGTAAAGTAGAAGGAGCACAAAGGAACAGAAATGAGCAGGAAGGGGCAGCAAGAAGCAGGAAGGGGCAGCAAGGAGCATGAAGGGTCTGCAAGGAGCACGAGAGTCAGCAAGGAGCAGGAAAGGTCAGCAAGGAGCAGGAAGGGTCAGCAAGGAGACGGAAGGGTCAGCAAGAAGCAGAAAGGGTCAGCAATGAGCTGGAAAGGGCAGCAAGGTGCAGGAAGGGACAGAAAGAGCAAAAAGGTAAAGTAGGAGAAGGAACAGAAATGAGCAGGAAGGGACATCAAGGAGTATAAAGGGTAATCAATGAGCTGAAAGGGGCAGAAGTAGCACAAACGGAAAAGTAGGAGAAGGAGCAGAAATTAGCAGGAAGGGTCAGCAAGGGGGAGGAAGGGGCAGCAAGGAGCAGGAAGGGTCTGCAAGGAGAAGGAAGGGTCTGCAAAGAGCATAAAGAATCAGAAGGAGCACAAAGGTAAAGTAGAAGAAGGAGCAGAAAAGGGTAGCAAGGAGCAGAAAGGGATCAGAAAGAGAAAGGAGCCAAAGGGGGAGCAAAATAAGCAGAAAGTAGCAGAAAGGTAAAGGAGCAGAAGGAGCCAAGGAGGAGAGAACACAGTGTCAGAAGAAAAAGAAGACTGTTTCAAATGAAGGAGAAGAAAAGGAGATTGGTCCACTTTATTCCAGACACCACATCATAAGGCTTTGGTACCTGGGCCTGGCAGGGAAACTTTGGACCTTCTCATCTCCCCAGGTAAAAAAAAATATCAGTGTTAATGTGTTCAATTTTATGTGTGTCAGGAAGCACAGAGTGACGCTGGGAAGGGGTGTCGCAGTCAGCTGGCACTCTAAGCCAATCAGTAGCTCCCCATTCATAAAAAAGTAAAACATTTTTATGAACCGGGAATTAGCGATTGGCTTACAGCGTCAACTGACCACTCTAGCCAATCTGCAGCACCCATGCCTGATGTCAATCTGCACTTCCTAACACTCTGTTTCAGAAGCCGAAGACCACTGAGCGACCTAGAGATATGGAGCTGGAGGAAGCCTTTGGGGTTAAACCATTTAAAGTAAAGAGAGAGCCCAGGGGCTTCCTGGCATAATAGCATTTTCATTTAGATTAAGTTGTTATGGTGACCGGAATGTTCCTTTAATTTGCTTAAAGGAACACTATAGTGTCAGGAATACAAACATGTATTCCTGAAATCATAGTTGTGAAAACGCTATTCACCCTGGCTTTATGTGATAATGTCTATGCCCCTTCCCTTTCATGACACTGTCAAAAAGGGACCAAGCATGGATGTCATTACAATTATGTCCCCCCCTGGAAAAATTCCTGCAGACACCCATGCACACAGTCTCAAAGGTAACATTACTAATCTGGCAAATTTCAATGTGAAAAATATCGAAAAATGAAATGTGCTATATTTGACCCTGTAACTTTCCAAAACACCGAGAAACCTGATGCACTCATGAGACTTTGCTGAATACAAATATGTGCATTTTATTGCAGTAAAAGCTAACAGTATTATGACATTTACAGCTAAAATGTCAGGCGGAACTACAATTTAAAAAAAAAAATCTAAATTTCT